GTTAGTAGTGTCATCTGATGCTTCAGACTCTGTTGGCTGAAATTGTGGGAAGATCTCCATCTTTGGGTAGGCTGGCAAAAGTACCATGATCGAGACTACCACCAAAGCTCCTGTAATTAGCCAGCAACAATACAAGAGCATCTTCCACAACTCTCCTACAAACACGAAAGTCCCTATGTTTCTGCTGCCTTTAATTTTTTACAAACAGCTCATCAATCTCAGATGGTAGGTGGAGTAGTCTGATGGCAAAGGATTTTACATCTTGAGCAAAATAGATGACATATCCACTGTAGCCATAGTGTCTGTGAGGTAGTTTGTAAATGGACATAACTGGCATTATAGGAGACACCTTTTCCTTTGCTTGTGGGAGTCCTTGATAATAATATATATATATATATATTCATAAAATAAACATGAGAATAAAACGCTGTTTAAACGAAGCCCTGCAAGTGATTTCAAACTGGTTTAAGATCAAAGCAGTTTTAGTGTAAACACTTCAATGTGCTTCCAAATGTGACTTATGTAAATGACCTCAAGTAGGTGATTTGAAGTGTTTTAAGGCTGTTCCAACACCCACCAATATCAACTGCGAACAGCTGCTAGTGCTTGTAGTGTCTTGGTCAAGTCCTAAGGTGAGAGCACTGATAGCTATATGGGGAGAAGACATATAATGACAGCTAGATGGAGCATCAAGAAACAAAAGTATTTTTGAAACTATTTCTAAGAAATTGCTTGAAGTACGACACATCCAAGATTGGAAACAGTGCCGCTGTAAGATAAAAAATAAAAAGTCTATTTATAAGAAAACAAAAGACCACAATGGTATTACAGGAAATGGGAGGAAATCTTTCATGTTTTACAATTATCATTCTCAAATCCTTGGCCAAAGACCAGCTTCGGTACCATTTATAGTTATTGATACACAGGACAGTGGTCACAATAAAAGTGATATATTTGAACATGATGTTATTAGTAATAAGTTGAATTAACAATAATTATTAGTCTACTATAAAACTAATATAATCCGACTTCAATAGTACTACTGCAGTGCCAGTGGAAAGTGCCCCACAGGAGGAGCCTATCATAAACAAAGAAAATGATAAATAGTACATGATCATTTGTACTACAGTGTGTGGGTGTATCAAAGGCACTGCCACAAGTTTATATAGTGTAGACCACACGGAGGTAGTTAGAAGCCATCATCTAACTGCCAATACTGGTAGTTAGACGACAGCGTGACAAACACTTGTGCTTAAATTAATAATAATCAATTAACAATCAATAATAAGAGACACAATGTGTTCTGTCACAGTTAATCTTCATGTGATTGAGTCTGCATATTAACAGTATTGGCCCACTAGTACCATAATTAATATTAATGGTACAGTGCTTCAGTGTACCATAGGTTGGGAAAGGCATAGATGTACTTGTAGCTTCACTAGCAGACATTTTTTCCTGTTGTTTTACATAATTCTGTTCCTCGTCTCGCTATGATAGTATCATTAAAACCTCTTCATGCTGCTCATCAGTAGTGCGCTCATACAGCCTTATTGCCTTGATTGACCTATGTCCAGTATGTTCTTGAATGAGCTTCTCTGGTACATTGGCTTCAAAATAAGCAATAGCACCTGTTGCTTGTAGGCTATGATTGGTCTTCCCAGCAATGCCAATCTATTCAAACATTTCCTTGACCATTCCTGCCAGCTTGTGTTCTCCAACAGGCGAGTTGCCGTACCATACAGCTGTAGGATTGCTAGGGACATAATCTAAAGGCTGATGATAGAAATAATTAAGGTCTTTGGCCTTTTGTGGCATTTTACTGATATACCTGTCTAGCAAAAAGACATGACAGCGTTCTCCCACTTCACCAAAACAGGAAAAAATTGACAGTCTTATTTTCAACAGTGCCTTCTGCCCCAGACCGATTTTTGGATCCATTCTCTATGTAAGTGTATCTGTCAGGATCATACATGCATTTCAGCTGTGACAGCTTTAGATTTCTATGCTCATTCCCACTCCTGAGGCAAAAATTCTTCCCATTACAATAGAAAACTGCATACAAAAGAGATTTGGGATCTTACGTACCGAGAATATGGCTAGTCTACAACAGCTCCTCTTCTTCTGATGTAATAAAGCTAGCATGGTTCACTTCAGCTCCAATTCCTTAGCATTTAAGCTGTTTTCCCATGTTCTCTAAGGCTGAACTTTGCTGTTGAAAATGGTGATTCTTCTTGTCCAAAAAATTGGGGCATCATGGTCACGAGAGCGCATGTGACATAAGATTCCAGAAAGGAGGTGGTAAATAGTTGTAAGTGGGTATGGTTGACCATCAGCACGTCTTGTTTCAAGTATATAAAGGCACAACCACTTATTCAATTCATCTGCATTGTACGGAGTATTTTCCAAAGTATCTGGAGGGCAGACTTCCAGAGGGTGGTGTTGCTCTCTTTCTGCTCTCCAATCCATAAAGTTTTTTAGAGCCCACATAGTTTTTTTCGCAGTATTCTTTGGAACAATAGGCTTAGTAGGTTCTGTTAAGTTGTCAGAAACAGATTCTTTAAAACTTCGTGATTTAAGGGAAAGGGACAATCTAGGTTTTTTCTTAACTGGCTCCTAAATAGGAGCAGCATTCTCCTTCTCTAGTTGCATCTCCATATTGACTTTATTTGAAATATGGGATTGGGGGTAAATGGTCACAGGCATGCGCACATCTCATGTATTATCTCTAACATTAATACTTACATGTAATATGGTAATTTGCATATGGTGCCTTTCATACACCCACACACTGTAGTACAAACCAGATAAACTACAGCTGTTTTGTGTTACTGGATATACACTCGGATGTTAGTTGATTTAGAAGCCTCGGCTTCTAAATCAACTAACATCCTCGTGTATATCCAGTAACCCTCAACATCTGTAGTTTATCTACAAGTAAATAAAAAAATTTCTATTAAATAAGAAAAAGTAGGGTTGTCAAAAAATAAAAGAAACAAGGGGGTTGAGTTCAACCATAATAATAATTAATAGTTCAATTAATAAAAATAAACTTTAAGTAATAAAAAAAATAATTTATTCATGAAAATAATACAATAATTTCAAACCCTACTTTGCAGAAAATGATAAGGTGGCAAGTCCATGCAATTACAATTTCTAACAAGTATATATTAATATTTTAAATTTTAGATATTGTACTGAATCACAAAATTCAAAGAATGCATTAGCCTATCCATAATTTAGATTTTTTTTATTGTGATGACAGTAATTATTCAATCAATACTAGCTGAAAAGTCTTATTTATATTTATCACAATAATTAATTTACATCATAGTATTGTAGTAGAGCAATCAATAGGTACAGAGGCATAATTATTATTAAAATTCTATTTACATTGTAGTCTGCCTGTTACTATTTTCTGCAAAGTAGGGTTTGAAATTTTTGTATTATTTTCATGAATAAATTATTTTTTTAGTACTTAAAGTTTATTATTATTAATTGAACTATTAATTATTATTATGGTTGAACTCAACCCCCTTGTTTCTTTTATTTTTTGACAACCCTACTTTTTCTTATTTAATAGAAATTTTTTTATTTACTTGTTTCCATACTTTTTATTAAATTTAATTAATTAATTATCCTTATTATAGTTTTTGCCTTAGGTATCAGTTCATTACTGGAAGAAAAGACTATGGAAATAAGAACCATATGAAGACGAAGACCTACCGCATTATAAAAACAGTTTTCATGGCAATCATTATTTTTTTAGAATTTTTGATTCTGAATCATAAATTATATTCATAGCCTAGCTAATAATTTTTTAATCATTATTATAATTATAGTAATTACTAAGATCTATATCCTGTTCTGAAACTATTTAAGTTTACATTCAGCTTCAGTTCAGTTGCCATTTTCCCGCTCACAGCTCACAAACTTATCCTCTGTGTTTCTTAGCAATTTTTTTTGAAAAAGCAGCAAGTCAGTTCAGTTAAAAACTTACATTATCTATCATTATGTTTTCTTATAGTTCATGGACTATGATGAGCATCATGGAGGTCCTCCTCCACCACCACCAGTAGTTGGAGGGCCTCCACCACCACCTCCCGGAGACCTGCCACCACCACCACCAGATGCTCCACCACCACCACCAATTCCTCGGCCACCTCCAGTAGCTGGAGGTCCTCCACCAGTGGATGGAGGTCCTCCTCCGCTGGCTTGAGGTCCCCCACCAGTAGCTGGTGGTCTTCCACCAGTTGCTGGTGGTCCTCCACCAGTTGATGGAGGTCCTCTACTGCTGGCTGGAGGTCCTCTGCCACATCCCCCTGCTGCTCCAGCACTCCATCCAGCTGGAGCTGGAGGTCCTCTTTACGTTGCTGCTCTGCAAAGGCAGAGGCAGATCATTATATGGCAGCTATGCCAAATCAATAGAGATATTGTAAGATTATTTTAGTTATGACCTGCAGTTTATATAGATACCAATTAATCACCTTTCTATTCCATTTTACTTTAGTACAACAATCTTCCGAGAGGTAGGCCAAGAGGCAGAGGCAGGAGGAACGGCAGCACGACGAAGAACTATAACTTTTATTAAATTATTATGTACATGTAGATCTATAAAGTTAACTTTTCTTAAATTAAAAACTTATAATAGAAGTAAAATATCTTGAAGCATAAAGCCAAAACAGAAATTATAAAAGCAATACTTAAAATTAGTGTGTTTGTTCAACAACGCAAAACAATTCAATACTTGAACTTCAACCTTCCTACAATACCAATACATGTGATATACATTGCTTAATTATATTAACGAGTAAAGAAAATACATACCATGGCCATAGTTAATCAGATAATCAATATTAATCATCAAAAAGAATTATAGCCTTGGATCATATTCTATAACACAATAATAAAAAACTATGGAATCTCACAATATTCTATCTTACTATGTATTCAATATTGCTAAGACTATGACAATATGAAACCTGTTCAGCTGGAAGCTGGCGCCTCCTCCAGTGTGAAAGCACCACTGATCAAAGAGCTACAACAAAACATAATGTTACAATGATGATTATTTATTAGAAATTAATTTAGTTACCACAAACGAAATCAGACAATAGCAAGCATTCATTTATATTGAGAAAAGAAAGTACTTACAGTGGCCATAATTAATGATATAATCATCAAATGAATATAAAGTATGTAACCTAGAATCATAACCTATACCAAAATACATAAGATATCTCACAATAATCTCCATCTTACTACATATTCCATTGCTAAGACTATATACAGTAATAAAAAACCTATACATATGTAAACTGGCACCTCCTACCGCCTGATACAACTACTAATCAAGGAGCTGCAACAAAACATTAAGTTACGTTTAATAAATAAATTGATTTAGTTACAACAATCTAAAAACAGAATTGCCTTTTCATTATATTTCACATTCCAATAATAAGCAAAGGTATTGCTGAATCAGCAAATCATTCCAGCTGTAATTACCTGTAAAGCATAGTAATAGAAACATCAAAAGCAAGCAATGTAAACTCACTGGCTAATAATAACAATAGCACTTACCAATCACATCAAACCTCACCCTCTAAAACCACATTGTAGTCCTTGTGCCAAGCAAGTACCTGTAAAAAGTATGAATGTGACATACTAACTAATAATGATAATGGTAGCATCTACAATATTTCCGATTGGATCATACATGTATGTGCATGCATGTATTTTAAACATAATATTGCTTACTAATGCTATCCTCAGTTAAGATACTTTCATGACCTGCTTAATATAAAATATCATTGTGTGCATAAAGTATTTCCAATGTGCAAACAATATTTTTTTGTTAATGAGAACATACACATGTTACAACAATCATCAATAAAAGATGCGCAACATCAGCTGGCAAGCATTTATTATGCGCACAGCTTTGATGGCAGCATCATTCAAATGCGCAACATCAGCCGGCAAGCATTAACTTAATAATGCGGACAGCATTGATGGCAGCATTATGCGCAACATCAGCTGGCAAGCATTTACATATATGTAATGCGCACAGCATTAATGGCAGCATTAACATGCATGATGATCATTATTATATGTACAGAATTACTGCTTGAATAATACTAAATGTAAAATAACAAATTTTAATGTTACTTAAAAAATTTTCTTGTCTGGACTTCACAATTTTTTAGCAGAGCCCCGATCCATAAGCACCAGTTATTTGTAATAAACATGTACTACAAGCTACAAACAAGATCCAGATTTGATAATAACAGCTTCCTTCCTTCCTAACCCTCTGTCCTACATAAATGATAGTCACACAAATTTGAATCAATGCAAAACTCTAATGAACACCAAACCTCTTTCACACCCTCTCCCTGTCCATTATAGCAACAAGTAATCAATATTCACTGTTATACATTGATTAATCTCACATCCTGAATGCAGTTTGACACACACTCACACATCACTCACATTGCACAAGCATTGAAATATAAGTCACATTAAACAACCAATGTTTTTAAGATGATGGACCTCCCATACACCATACCCACTTCCATCAACAATCAATGCTTAAGAAATTTTAATAGACTTAACTGCTTGGAAATGATTAGTACCAACATGCTTCAAATACAAAGCAGGTGTATTAGTATCACAAGGAATGCCATATAAAGTTTGGGTTCCATATCTAGCCCAGCCAACAAAAGTAGGAGTGAGTGAATATGAATATATGGTTGTACCTAATATTGCAGATAATGTTATAATCTCTGTGTCAGTGGCCCACACACAATTTCTATACATTTTGGACTTATTAATGTAATCATATATGCTTGAATATCTGGTTGCACTTAATGTACTATTAAACAATTCTTCTTCAAAGTTTGGCATATTACTAACAATTGCTTTACGTAATTCGTAATGCTGAGAAATTGACCCAGTAATGAGATATGAAAGGGCATAAAATAAACAGTTCCCATCACCAGGGACATCAAGAGTACTATTAGGAACTCTTTCATCTGACAATGGTGTTGTTGGACTACCAGGTAAGATTCTAGCAGCTGTGACAAATTTGAGATTTAAAATCTCACACCACCTTCTTTGATATTCTTCATTACCAGGGTAATAAACATAATCCCATTGTCTCCTTCTCACAATATCTGGGTTTGGAGGCTCTTCATAAGTAAAGATGACATCATTATCTTTTTTTGGATTACTTGTCTTTAATTTAATGCTTGAGAGTTTTATAGATACAATCAGACCACTACTACAATGGTCATTTTTTACAACACACTTGGTTTTATCATCTTTTGGTTTACATTTAATGTTTGAGAGTTTTATAGATACAATGAGACTACTACAACTATCATCATCTTTGACATTAAATTTGGTTTTTAGGTCTTTCAAATTAATTGAAACAATTAATTTATCATCTTTTTTTGAGCGAGGAAATACCAAAGCAGTATTGTCAGTACTACTGTCTACATCAACTTTTCTTTTTTGGGGGCAAGGCTTATTTAAAGCATTATTGTCACATATTTTACTCTTTTTGGGGCGATTAGACTTTTGTAAATCAGTACTCTTACGTTTATTGCTACTAACAGTACTGTTACTAGTACTTTGTACATGACTTACAGACACCTTGGCATTCTTACTACAAGGTTCACCATCATCAATTATACCAGTCACTTGAATCTTTCTCTTCTTTCCTTTACTTTTCTTGATTTGAGGTAAGTCATTCCGAAAATTAGTTCTCAGTCTGTTAATTTCATTAATGCACGGATTACTAACTTTAACAGAGAAAGGATCAAATGATAATAAATGTAATCCATTTAATGTACGTACACGAGACAATGCAACATATGCCATACCATCCCCAAAAACATCAGTCGATAAATCAATAATGGCTGCATCTAGTGAGAGGCCCTGACATTTATGTATAGTAATAGCATAAGAAAGTATGAGGGGAAACTGTTTCCTATGTATATACAAATTCTTAGATAGCATAAATCTAGATGTAACCCTTTCTATGTCACAAGGTACATCAATATGATCAAATTTGATTGATATACGTGTAGCATAAATACCCATTACTGTACCAATGGCACCATTAACTAATCCTACAGTCACATCAATATTACGTCTTAGCATTACTCTACAGCCTACTGCTAAAGACAATACAGTTTCTAAACCAGCTGTTTTGCTTGGTTGATCTTTTAGTTTCTCTAATTTTTTTTCTTGTTTTTTGTCAAATTTTGCTGTGCTGCCACCATCATCAACAACATCAACACATGCTAATTCTATTTTCTCATTTTCTAGACCTTTAACATTAATTCATTGATTTTTTGGCAGGCGTCTACCTTAGAAAATAGGCAAATTGGAGGAATTGTTCCTTCACTTTCCAATTCCTTATATTTTTCTTGTATTAAAACCTTAAATACGCGACTCTTAAGCGTATCAATAGTTTCATCAGTCAGACAGCCATGCCTAACAGAATCAAGCATCTTAAAGAAAGATTCATCTCCTTTTTGTCGCTCATTGATTGTTAGTTCATCATATTCTACTGTTTCTTTCCATATGTTAACTGCATTTGCTGCTCCAAGTCTAGTTTTTACTAGTTTGTTGCTAATTTTATTAAATACTGGCCTACCATTAACTGGTGGCAATTGTAAGAGGTCACCTACAAATAAAATATTTTTGGATCCAAACCATTCATCAGTTCCAAATATATCTTCTAAGCGCATGTGTAAGTATGCTAGATTTAGATTGGATACCATAGATACCTCGTCTACTATTATAATTTTTAAATTTTTAAGTTTCAGTTTTATTCTTTTCTGAGCTTCTTTACTCAAAGCCCAATATCCAGCTGTCTTTCCCTCATGCCCTATTGGTAGCTGAAATAATCTATGTATTGTTAGTCCACCTACATTAAATGCGGCTATACCTGTTGGTGCTACTATAGCACACATAATTTCACCACTTTTTGGATGCCATATGTTATCCACTAGGCATTTTATTGCCTCTATCAAAAACAATTTACCAGTTCCACCTACACCACTAATAAACATCCTTAGCGGTTTGATATTATCTAATCTAAGTAGTCTTGAAGACTCATTCTCTAATAAGTCTTCACGTTCTTTTTGACTTATAAGATGACTCTTAATTTTATCAAAAATTCTTTTTTGATCTACATTAAGCATTGCCTCTCTTTGCTCTAATGTTAAATTAGGTACATTTATATGCATTTCAGCAATATCAGCTACTGCTTCCATTATTTCACCCATTAATTGAGGCTCATCATTTTCCTTGTTATCAGGAAGTTCTTCAGTGAAACCGGCTTTATTTCTTGCATCGACTATTTTCTTCCAATTACGTTCAGCTTCTAATAATTTCTGTAGTTTGTTGAAATGATTTTCAATGCCACGTATAGATGCTTCTCTGTGACGCCTAAAAGCTTCCATTGTTTCTCCTTCCATTACAAGTGTGCTCTCGTCTCTAAAAGGCACAAATAAAAATATTAGCGAGTAATAAAAATCGTCTCTTTCCACTTCTTGCATAGGATTAAATTTCCTATGGCTTGGAAGGACTGGCTTTGATCGAAGTTTGTATTCTCTTTCTCCATTTTCTCCTATTTTATCAAATTTGTAATTGGCAACAACTTCATAAAGAGATACATCTTCCATGTTATTCGGTCTTGTTGGATAAAAGTCTTCAATTATGCTAGGATTAAAAATGTCTTTCGAAGATCGATCCATTTTATTTAAATATGAATAGTTTTTGATTTTTCTGCTCCTCTTATGAGGCAAGTACCCATTAACGTACTGTACAGTAACTGATTTCATGTATAAACTTTCACTAAGAAGAAGATCGCTAGCTTCATATAGTCCTACTTCTTTAGCTCGAAGTAATTTTTATCCAATTTTCCAAAGCCTGCTGTATATGTTGTCACAGCTGCTGACTTCATCCCATAAGTCCTGTGCATGACTCTTTTCTGCTTTAGTGACATATCCAGTTACATACTCTGTTAAGGAAAGACTCCTCTCTGCTATGTATTGCAGGTCAATATTTGCACACCACAATTTCAGCAGTAAAGGATTATAGTCTTTGACTCGAACTTCTTTTTCATTTCGTTTGAGATAATATATTTTATTGCATGATTTCAAGCTGTTTTCTACATCATTGATGCAAATACTATCTCGTACTGGTCTAGGAAAATCAAATCGGCATCTAGATACATAGGTCTTGCCGACTTTAATATTTCTCTTGCAGTATTTGCTGCACTTGTGCATTTGGTATTTTGTTACCAAAAAATTTAAATCAGGCGACGTATTACTATCTGGTATATGACAGGTAATCCTATCTTGTATGAAAGAACAGACTTCTTCTGGATGATCGATACCGACAACAGGAGCATTTTCAATCCATAGGAGGATGTGATAATGAGGCGCTCCACGCATTGGATATTCTTTTTTAACATAATATTGCTCTACTTCGCCTAGAACACCTCTCTGGAGAATGACTATGTTAAAGAAATCCTTAAATTTGTATGAAAATTGTCGCGATACTGAATCAGGGTCCTCAGTACATAATCTAGAAATACTATATGAT